TCCCCGAGCCCCCCCTGCAGCTGTCCCCCGCGCCCCCCCTGGGTATCCTGGCGTTATCCCACCCGGCTCTCGCCCGCACCCAGTCGTCCCCCGCCAGCGCCAGCATCAAGCCCCCTGCGCCCGATGGGCCCCCCAAGCACCTATTTACCACAGGTATGGGGGGGGGACAATGCACATGGGGGGTTGTCCCAGGGTGGGGGGTTTCTATCCCATGGGGTGTCCCAGCACTTGGGGGGGGCCAGGGGTGCCTGTGTCCCATGGGGTGCTCTTATCCCATGGGGTCCCCCATCCCTTGGCGTGCCTGGGGTGCCCGTGGCTCATGGGGTCCCTCTGTCCCATGGGTCTGCCATCCCTCAGGGTGACATGGGGTGCCCCTATCCCATGGGATCCCCCTGTCCCCTGGGGTTCCCAATCCCTTGGGGTGCCCAGGGGTCCCCCTATCCCATGGGATGCCCCTGTCCCCTGGGGTTCCCAGTCCCTTGGGGTGCCCAGGGGTCCCCCCATCCCATGGGATGCCCCTGTCCCATGGCATCCCTCTGTCCCATGGTGTCCCCCATCCCTTGGGGTGCCCAGTAGTGCCCATGTCCCACAAGGTCCCCCCTCTCCTATAGCCTTTTCCATCCCTCAGGGTGCACGGGGATCCTCGTGTCCCATAGGATCCCCCTTGTCCCGGGGGGTGTGGGAGGGTGGGGGTCCCGGGGGGGGGCCGGTCCCAGGCGTGCCGCTGTGGCTGCCCGGCGCAGGCGTGGTGTACGACACGTTCATGCTGAAGCACCAGTGCACCTGCGGGAACACCAACATCCACCCCGAGCACGCCGGCCGCATCCAGAGCATCTGGTCCCGTCTGCAGGAGACCGGTCTCCTCGGCAAGTGTGAGGTGAGGCACCCACGGCCAGGGTGGGTGGGTGGGGGTCCCCTGCTTGTCTAGGAGGGGGTCTCACCCCTGTGTCCCCCCTCCCCAGCGCATCCGGGGCAGGAAGGCGACGCTGGAGGAGATCCAGACGGTGCACTCGGAGCATCACACGCTGCTTTATGGCACCAGCCCCCTCAACCGCCAGAAGCTCGACAGCAAGAAGCTCCTGGGTGGGTGCCAGCTGGGGTGCCTGGACACCTGGGTCCCCTTTTGGGGTTGGGGGGGGACACGACACACTGTCCCCACCGGCACCCACCCTCCATCACGGCACTCTCTGCCCCGCCAGCTCCCATCAGCCAGAAGACGTACGCGGTGCTGCCGTGCGGGGGCATCGGGGTGAGTATGTGGTGGCAGCAGGGGGGGGGTGTCCCCAGGCTGGTCTGTCCCCGCTGACGTGTCCCCGTGTGTCCCCCCACGTGTCCCCCCACTGCAGGTGGACAGTGACACAGTGTGGAACGAGATGCACTCGTCCAGCGCCGTGCGCATGGCAGTGGGCTGCCTGGTGGAGCTCGCCTTCAAGGTGGCCGCCGGCGAGATCAAGGTGAGCGGGGCGGGCTGGCACGCCGGCGGGCATCCTCGCACACCCGCACGCTCGGGGTGTGCGCGCTTGCATGCGTGTGTACCACCCACGTGCATGCTCATCTGGGGGTGCGACGGCTCTTGTGCAAGCTTGCGTGCACGCGTGCTGCTTTTTTGCACGCTTACCTGGGGGTGCGATGATCCTCGCGCACGCTTGCACGTGCGTGCGCTGTCCTTGCGCGTGCTTACCTGGATGCGTGATGGCCCCCGTGCAAGCTCGCATGTGTGCGTGCCTCTTGTGCACACTTATTTGTGTGTGGCGGTGCTCAGGCATGGTTACATGTGTAGGTACTGACACCACGTACGCTTACGTGCGTGCGTGATGGTCCTCATGTGTGCTTGCGTGTGGGTGCACCGCTCTTGTGCGCACTATCTGGGGGTGTGATGGTCCTCAAGCACGCTTGCACACGCGCACTAACACCATGCACGCTCACCTGGGTGTGCATGGTGGCCCTTGTGCACGCTTGCAAGCGTGCAGTGTCCTCGTGCACGTGCGTGTGTGTGAAGGTCCACAAGCAAGCTTGCATGTGTGCACTTGCGTGCACGCTCACCTGGGTGTGCGTGACAGCCCTCATGCACGCTTGCATGCGCACCCTGTCCTTGTGCATGCTTGCATAGGTGCACGTGATGGCAGATGCGCACGCTTGCACGTGCATGGCAGCCCTTGTGCATGCTCGTGTGCGTGTCGCTCCCCTGCACGCTCACCTGGGTGTGCGCCGCCGCCCTCGTGCACGCGTGGGCACACGCCACACGTGTCCCTCTCTGTCCCCGCAGAACGGCTTCGCCGTCATCCGCCCCCCGGGACACCATGCAGAGGAGTCCACGGCCATGTGAGTGGGGGGCTACTGGGAGCACTGGGGGACGTGGGGCTGGCGGGACCCCCTCCCAGGCTTGGGGGGCGAGGGGGGGGGTCGACAGTGGTGACCCGGGGGTCCCCCAGCACTGACCCTGCCCCCTGTCCCCAGGGGCTTCTGCTTCTTCAACTCGGTGGCCATCTCGGCCAAACTGCTCCAGCAGAAGCTCAGCGTGGGCAGGATCCTCATCGTGGACTGGGTAACGTCCCACCAGGGAGGGGGACGGGGACCCCCCCTGGGTGATGGGGGACCCTGTAGGATGGTGGGGGGGGGTGTCCCTGACACCGCTGGCACCCCGGCAGGACATCCACCATGGGAACGGGACCCAGCAAGCCTTCTACAGCGACCCCGACGTCCTCTACATCTCCCTCCACCGTTACGATGACGGCAACTTCTTCCCAGGCAGCGGGGCACCCGAGGAGGTATGGGGTGATGGGGGGGGGGGCCATGGGGTGGGGGGGGGGGGGGCCCCCGGGGGCCCCCCCCC